CACTATAAAAATGGACCATGAAGAGGCAGATATTAAATTACGCGCATTAACGTGTTTGGATGGCAAAACATACAGTAAAGACTTTGTTATCTCTTCTTTCCCCACTCCTGTAAATTTAATACATTTAAATTGTGCCACATGGTATCAGAAAGGAAAAAAAAAAACTTTACCATGAAAAGAAGGCTTTGAATATACAAGTGGAATAAAAAAAAAACATTTCCAGGAAATTGTAAGTAATTTATATTTTTCAATTCTTTGTGTTTAAACTAAAAACAGTTTATAAAGTAAAAAAAGAAAGAAAAACAAATTTGTTTAATCCAATTGACAACATGTCCATAGCACAAAATTCTGAACATGGATGTGATAGGCAAAAGAAATATCTTACCTCCTGCAAAAATGGTTTTATCAGGTAATTTGGCAACTAACAAGGAAAGGTTTGTTTGAAATTTTTGAAATTATTCAAAAGCTAATAAACTCAACAAAGAACCTGATACCAAAGAAGACGTATACAACATTTAGGATGGATTGAAATTTAACAAAGAAGAGAAAGAAAATTTGGAATAAGAATAACGAAATTTGAAGAATTTTTTGGAGAAACCCAGGAAATGTACGAAGATTACAAATTTCATATTCAAAATCAAGAAGCTTCAGAAAGGCATATGTTGCTGTGCTGTGAAAGCAAAAGGATGCAGTTTGGGGAAAATGCAAAACAGGCTAATTCAAGACTAAATAATTGTAGGAGTTAAAGATGGTGCAGTTAAGGTCACTCAAACATTTAATATAGTATATTAAATGTAACACATGAGGTAACACACATGCAAGTCTCTACATAGAGATTCCTCTCCTCATTAACTCTATCTTTTTCTTCTCCTCTCAAACTTTACTCACGATCAGCATACTTCATTTGCTCATACACTAAACTTAGGATACTAAGTGACACTTGCATAGTAGCACATATGCAACTTTCCAGAGATACCTCTCATCATCAACTCTATAAAATTGTTTCTACTCCTCTCTTGACACTTGTTGAAACTTGTTAAAATCAATATGTTTTGATCGATACTAAATCAATTTTCAATAATTTTATTGCTTTTCTAATGTTTTCAAATACAAATTAAATTTTCAAACAAACCATGCTTAACAGTAACTATTTTTCTTTTAAAATTTTTTAAAAATCTTCAGTAAAGGTTCCACTAAATTACTTTCTGCTGAAAGCAATCGTCATATCATCAAATCATTTAGCTTTCAATCTCGACAACTCACTCATAAACCTACGCCTGTCATAAGTGGTAAATGACAATTTTTTCTTTTCTTTTGACAGGATTGGTGCTCTAGCAGTTATACCTTAGTCCAAACTGTCAAACCAGGAAAATAATCAGTAAGCTGATTTTTTTCACTTTCATTTATATGATATTGAATTGTGCCGTTTCACACCATGTCTTTCATAGATTGCCTTTTCATCTAACCTGACGAATATTTATGGGCATTTCTAAACTTTAAAAAAAATTAAAAAACCAATAACATTTTTTATATTTTCAAGTAACCGTGTTTAAGGTTTAAAAACTGCTCAAAATTGGCGTAAACAGCTAGTTTTTCAACGCAATTTTCAAAACTTGTAGAATCAGAAATTTTTAATATAACTTTTTGCAAACTGTTGAAACTTGTTAAAAATCAATATTTTTTTGATCGATACCAAATCGATTTTCAATAATTTTAGGGGTTTTCTAATGTTAACCAACAACAAATTACATTTTTCACATTTATTCAGAGTGGCATTTTAGTTTTATCTTCAAAATTATTGGTAGATAAATATAGGATTATATTTTCAATCTTATTGAAAAAATGCTTTTTAGAACTTTTATTTTCAAACTTATTGAAATGGACATATGAGGATTTTACTTTCAAACTTTCTATAAAAGGCATTTCAGTTTTATTACTGATCTAACTGAAAAACTTTTTTGAATTTATTTTTGATATTGTACAAAATAACAGTGTATGTACAATTTATGCTCAAAACAAGTATTGTGGAACAAAATATGTTACCAGATTTTAATCTATTCATCCTAAGAGATGAAATTGGGATCAATTAAATTGATTTACAATTCCTGGAATGAAAAACACAAACTTGAAAATCAAGTTAGAGAAAATTGAACATACTAAAAATTAACAATAATAAGAAATTAATAAGAAATTCTTAATTAATTAAAATAAAAATATTAATTTCTTTTCTTTTGCAGTTTTTCCAATCATTTTCTTTTAATTTCCAATTAACATTCACAAACATGAAACAACTAGAAATAATTTTTAGTGGACCTTTAAAATTGGATGCAAATGCTTTATTAAAATTCAAAGAAAAATATTCATAAAATCCATTGTTTTCAAACTGATCAAAAGAAAACAAAAATTAACAATAACTTTATATTCTACAAGATCTTTTAATAATTTAAAATTTACCTATATTTTAAATACTATAAATTGATTATCTGATAACATTTTACACTTCCAACTGCTTCAAAAAAGGCTAATCAAATTCAAGAGTGCAGCCTTTACATGTATAAAATGTTTATTACCAATTCTGAAAATATGATCTAAAGTTATGAATGAATTTTGCCTGAAAAATAGAAATCAATAAAAAAATTTTATAAGCATTAATTTTTATATACTTTGTAGTGAGTACAAAATGATAATAATCCCCTTCACCTTCAAATTTGGAGGGCTGAGTAAGAAGAGAGAAAAAATTTTGTGAGACTATGTGAATTTTTCTTTGGACCAATGAAAACCTTCCCTTCACAGAAATTGACTGATGAGCTGAAAAGACGAAGGGAAGGAATTTGCAAGCCTATGTGAAATTGTTTTTAGACCAATGAAAACCCTGTCTTCACAGAAATTAACCGGCCAGCCAAGCAGAAAAAGAAAAGAAACAAGCGATCCTTTTCAAAATTCTTTTTGATTAAATTAATGAGAGAAGAGTGTCTGAAGTCATGTGAAAGGTTTTGTTTCTGTTCATCATGACCAGTATTGAAGTTATTGCCAGTGTAACATTATTTGCCATTTATATTATCAGCCTTTAACCAGCATGCAGTACTTCAAGGAAGTTTTCCTCGGCAATCAGTATTTAAAACTATCTCTCTTCATGTACCCTTGAATGTATGCAAACCTTTGGTGAACAACAAATTCTCTTACCTTTGTTTTAAACATTTTTTAATATTATTTTGAATTTAATTTAATCTGTTGTATGAACATTTCCTCTTCATGACAATTCATTAAAACTACAGACTTTAAGAATTCTGATTTATTTTCCTGACACAATTTCAAGCATGCAAATTTGAGAGTAAATTCCTTATCTTGTTTTGTTAAAATTACCTGTATGTTTCCTCGTCATTATCATCCAACATTAATTTTCTTGGCAGGAACTGTTCATTTTAACCCCTCCAGAATAAAATGTTTTCATAATACATCATTAAATTTACAGTTTAAGAAATATATATTTAGAAGAATTTTAAAAAAATATTACTAAAATATTTAAATGCTAACTTTTATAATACAAGTTAGCATTTTTGTGACATGTACATTATCATTGCAAGATGAAAAAAATATGAACAAAACAAAAAAAATCTGAAGTATCTCAGAAAAGATTTTAACTATATTTAAAAATAATATTTTAGGTTGAATATGCAAAGAATTATCATTATGCAAAGACTTTAGCATTTAAATCCACTCATTTAATGAAAAGATATTTATCCAAATAAAGTAGCTACTCTAATTGAATAGCTATGACTACCCATAAAACTCTATTGTCTAAAAAACATTCATTGATTCAATATATATATATTACATCATGCTGGATCTGAACTTTTTCTTTTTTGCTCAAAGGAGATAAATTTTATAGAGAAGAGCTCATGCAAGTTAAATCATCCAAGCTGAAAGGTTGTTTCCCAGTGGTTCCATTTATTGACATGGCTGAATTCTATCAAAATGAAATCAGTTAAACATTATACCAAAACTGATTATTCAACTGTTATAGTTGAATAATCCAAAAGAAAATGAGTGGGGAAAACACAAACTAAATATTACCCACAATGCACAGCTCATAAGAAATTCACAAACATTTATTTTTATACATTTTCCTATTTTTTGTTGCATCTTTCTGTACATAATTTTACATTTTAAAACATTTTTGCAAAACAATGCCGTAAACTTAAAACTTTTAGAACGTATAGAAGAAATAGAATTTCCAAATTTATTAAAAGTTTAAAAGAATTTGAGAGGAACATTAGTAGATTTCTCTTAGAATAACTTTTGGTAAATAAAACAAATTTTCAGTAATTTTCACCAAAATGTTAGAAAATACACTTTTCAATCCAGTAAATTAATAAATAATTTTCTATTAATATATTTGAATAAGGTTAATCAATATTTGTAGATATAAAAACTTACTAAGTCTTACAATATTATGATAACCAAATTGTAGCAGATCCTAAAACAAATGAAACGCTGCTTACCAAAGTGTTTTAAAATTTGAGATATAAGAAATTTATATAAGAAAAGAACACATGTAAAGAGTAGTTCCTCTTAACAGATCAAACTGAGTTTATGGAAAGGCTCTCCACCCAAAGCTATAAAAAATCTTATCACAAGTAATCAAAACACTATTTATAAACTCTCAACACTTAGCTTATCAAAGATCAATAAAATAATTCAAGATTTTCTTTCTATCAAATTAACAAAGTTCACAGAGAAATCAAGAATATTATGTGTCAGAATCTTGCACAGCTGGGTATCATGTCCACATTCCTTATTTAAAAAACCAAGTATGTAATGGTTTCTTATCTTTTCCAGAGACTTCCTTTTCTAGAGCAGCATTTGCAATTAACAGTTTTGATTGCATGTCCTGGTGTTCTCTGTAGAATATGAGATGTAGTTCATAAAAAGGAAGAATATTTCTCAAAACATTTCAAGAATATGTTGTGATTGAAGAGTAAAATAAAAACAGACAAGGACTACCGATTTTCATTCATCTGTGGTATCTGAGTAAAGGTGAATAGAGATGCTTCTGGTAGTAGATGTGGACTGAGAACTTCTTCAGACTGACACCGACGAATACTTGGCTGTTTTTGCTGAGTGGAAGGAATCTGATTACCTTTTGTAGAGACAATCTCCTGGCTGCGAGCCAAGATATTTAAGGCTGCATTGTAGTTTGGTGGTGGAGTGGGTGGGACATTTAGAGTGAAGGAATTCTGCAAGAATAAAAATAAGACTCAAGTCTTAGATCATTAAAAAAATAAAAATAATTTCTTTTTAATCATTTTGCCTCAAGCAAGGTGATAAAGCCACTAAGGTGCAAGGGAAAAACTGAGAGTAAAAGAATCTGAGACAAAATGCTATAAAAAGAATAAGATTCAAGAAGACAGATGGTGATGTTGCATTTAAATTTTTGAAGTTTACAAGAAATCACGAAGCCAGAAGAGAAGTCCATGAACAAGAAGTGCAAGAGAAGAAGCTTTTAAAGCTTATGGTTGCATCTAGTTATTTTAAGAGTAAAAGGAAGAAACCTAGCAGTCATTCTAGTACAATGTTAAAATACAAAAATTTGTGGTACTAAAGAGGACAGCTTAACAGAACAATTGCTATGTTTGTAGAAACGGCACATAAAAAAGTGGGTGAAGCCAAGATGCCAGGTCAGGATCAATATAATTTCAGATGCTTCTTTGGATTTCGTAAAGAAACTCAAGATATATAGCAGGAGCACCAGACCAGTCATGGCAGCAATGGTAAACTTATGATCATGCAAAATGAACTCCACTGAAACAAATTGTCTGCCATGATACAATGAAGCAACATATTCAATATAATAATTTCAGTTCATGTCAGTGGAGAAGGTGCAATGAATTGCTCTCCTGGAGGTTGGTATCAGTCATGGATGACAAAAATGGTTCTCTAATATGACTAAAAGACAGCAGTTTCATTTTTGGGGAATTAACATTGACAAACCATTTCTTGTCCCAGTTAAGAAAAGATTAAAGTTCAGTTTTCAAGAATGATTTGAGAAAATCTTCTTGCAAAACAAATTCTTTTTCTTACAATGAAAGGATAAAATTGATATCTGTTCATTGTATCTTATAAAAGTGTCAACAAAATTATGTTTTATTTGATGGCTATTTATGACTAGTTAGGTAATACAAATATACAGGTGGACACTAAAATAAGAAATAAATAATAATTGCTTAACATAAAACTTTGATTTATTAAGTAAAAATAAAAGCCAAATCTATTTTTGACAATAACTATTAAATATCTTTTGCTACTTTATTCCACTATTTTCTGGAAGATTTCAGCTAACTTCATAATTCCATCCTTTAAGAACTTTTTATTTCTTCTCAGTTCATTTGGTAGTTTTCCAAACAATTAAATTTTTCTTTCATTAAAAGGTTTCCTGTAAAAGTTGAAATAAAAGATAATTTGACAGTGAATATGGTGGATGATTAAAAACTTTCCAAACTGTAACAATATTTTTATCTGGACATCAAAAAACATACGATCTAGCATTATCCTCATGGATTATTAAATCCTTTCTTTTAACTAATTCTACTGCCCTAAATTAGTTTCACATTAGTTTATCTTCTTTGGATGAAGAATGGATTTTTGTAGAATAATTTCATTATACTTAGCAAATCACACATGGGAATAGAATCTAGTAGGTTGTTTTTTCATTTCAAACATAGATTTCAGTAGGGATTACTTGAGAATAGTTTGGTTTATACAATGAAGGGGAGATAATAAAAAACTGCAATGTTTATGTTAGCAATTTTTTATTATTTCCCCTTCATTGTATAAAAGTATTCTCAAGTAATATTTTGATTTGATCAATCTCAATGAGTCTCCTTGATTTTTGTTTAACAAGAAATCTTTTTGTAGTGAGATATGCAAAATGAAATTATTTTTCATAAAGTCAAACTACGAATAAGTTAGTTGTCAGTAGACATGGTAGGGCAATTAGTACTATGTCCATTCAGCATACAGCCTGTTATTCCTAGATGGACTTTCAAACTCCAACCAAAATTTCTTACTGATTCAACTCTTCTGGATCAATGAGCTTGCAAAATTTGTTTTATTGTGGGGAAAAAAAAACAAACAAATAATCCATGCTGAAATCCATGTTTAGAAGGTATTTGAAAGGTTGTATACTATTCTTAGTATGTTTTGTAATTTTTACTTGCTGGTGATTTTTGGCACTCTTTGCAGAACTCTTTGACTGATTTGTCCATCCATGGCCAGTAATACCTAGATTTTAATAAGGTTAAGGTGGCTGATATTGCTGGGTGTGATTATGCATTTAGACTATCCAATACAAATTTTGCTGACATTTCAAAATGTCTCAGAAACAGTAGTGACATGTTGTATATTATAACTTGGTTTTTAATTGTGTAGAATGTTTTAAACTTTCTTTCAATTGTTTAAATTATTCATCAGAATGCTGATGATTGATGATTTCCTGTAAATCACAAAGATCTATTCTTATAGTATTAGCTGCAATGATATCTTCATGCTCTTTTATATGAGGAATGTCTAATGTATCAAACTCTACTACTAGGGGTTGAAAAGAAAAGTCAAATTAGACAAAGTAACCTTTTTATAGAAACAAAACTTGCTAAGAAAAATGTAATGAATTTATATAATAGGAAAAATAATTTTTTTTCATATTCATCAGATTACTAATTTGATATATCATTGTAAATATTTTTAATAAATATAATACTTGGAATATCTGAAAAAATTGATTAACTAAAGTAATTCAAATTAATTTCTGGTTTGTATTTATTAATTGCTTTCATGTTTTAGTATTATGAATGAGTCATAGATAACAATTTGTCAATTTACATTGTGTTTAGTTTATTCAAACACTTCACTCCTGAATAAAATTTGAAAGAAAATGTCTGTTTAAATATCATTTTCTTGCAAAAAATCATTTAAATATCATTTTCTTTTAAAATTTATTACTTGAGACTTAGATTCCTATTCTGAAGTTTTCTCTTTTATTCTCTTTCACTTGTGTTTTGAAGTTGATCAAAATCCCAGTTCTATTCTATACTTTTGCTATCAAATACTAATAGATTCATTTATTTTAGGGCTCATGACACAAAATTGGCTTCCTAATATTGTGAATGCAACTTGATATCTGTTCAATTAATTGCTATTCCTGCATAACCCTTAAAGTCATTCAAAATCTTAGTGATCTACTTTCATACAATATCAAAAAAGTATTGCTTAATGTCTCACCATTCGTTGATGCATGATACGTGTATTAGGGTAAATACTGCTGGATACAACCTCTTCATAAGGAGGAGGAGGTAGATATAAGGATAAGTTGTCAATATTATTGTCCACTTCTCCTGAGGAATTTTGATCAGTATGTGATTCTGCAGCTGAAAATAAAAAAAAAACAAAAATTCTCAACAAATCCGAAATTTGGGTTGAAAATAATCCTACAAGATGAACAATTATTGAGATTGACTCTAATTTTTACACTAAACTTAGTTTTTAAATATTGAAATAGCAATGCAATAATTGTTGTCCACATACGGGTAATTTAATTTGAATATTATCTTTATAGCAAATAATGACAAGTAGGTTCTCAAATTGTATAACTGTATTAAAAATAGTAATCAGACATTTAAACATGCTCAGTTGCAAAATGAAAAAGTCATATCAAGCATTAAATTATATAAATATTTGAAAAAATTGACAAAAACTTTGTCTCAAAGTAAATAGTATAATGCAAAAAAGAGGTACTCACATAAGCTTTGCATTCGGTTGCGTCCCCTTTGTTGTAAGCAGTAGAGAATGATGAGGAATATAACAATTGTCAGACCCACAATGACCATGATTAACATTGTACTTTGGCTTATGTTATTTTGCTCAGCTGTATAGAGAAAAATATTGTACAAAGGGAGAGGATTTATATACAGAGAACATTTAGATACATTGTACACAGTAAGAGAGAGATTTTAAATATGTAACAGCAGTGACTGTAGAATATGCAAAATAAACAGCGGGATACACAAAAAAATTTAAATTAAAGCTATATTTATGATGCCTATGTTTTTTTAGTGTCTCAGATAAACAGTTAATATTAAGAATAACTAATCTTGTTGCATTAGTTGAAAATTAGCAGAGGATTCTTTTATGGAACATGGGAGTAGCAGTTTGGTTGAAGAAAAACAAATTTCTCTCTCAGGACAGAATTTGAACACAAACTGTCCAATATCTTCTGACCACTTTTGGCTTTCATAGGCTATTATCTGAGATTTTGTGGGGAATTGATAGGGTTGTGTTTATACATACTGTACTGTGTTCTGTTCAGGATTTTACATATATATCACATCTTTATGAAATACATATATGAGAGAGAGAGGAAGAGATAATGCTCTTTCACATTTTACAAGTATGACTAAGAAATTAAATTTTGATTTAAAAAATTTGTCACATTGCAAATCAATTAACTCCAAATGATATTTTTTGCAACTTGCTCCACAAATTAATTAGATAATTAGTGCCCAGGTATTAAGCTGATGGGCCGGATGCATCCCAGGGGTCAGGGGGTTGCCAACCCTGGTGTAAACTAACAAAAAATTTCGAATACTTTACAGAAGACTTTTTTGTGTTGTGGTCATCAGCATGGCTGATCTTAAAGCCATTTTTATAATGCATTATACAAATATGAACATAATGCATTATACAGATATGAACATAAGTGGGTTAAGCCATAAGATCTCTTTCAGTATTATTTAATAATTGATAAACTTGTACAATTAAAAACAATTCATTTTTAGACTATTAAATGAAATTAATTAAACTATTAGAAGAAATGCTAATCAGAATATTTCTAAGTTCATACATAATAACAAAAGAATGATTGTATTCGACAATTCTAAGACATACTTAATTGTTACAAATAAACAAAAATTGAAGCATTATTTTGTGATCAAATCTATCTGAAAATCCCTTGTAATATTATTTTAAATTTTTTACTAATATTTCTTTCATCTTAATTTTATTTGCAACATTGCAACTTCCAGAATGTCACCCCATAGTCATTATTTCATTTTTACATTTCATCAATGAATGACAATGTGTAAGTTAAGATGAATGACAATGTGTAAGTTAAGATGAATGACAATGTGTAAGTTAAGATGAAAAGCAACTGAAATTAAAATGAATAAAAAAAAAGATACAAGCCAAATATCAATAATTATTCTTATTTTTCAAATATGTCAAATCAAGGTATACCACTAACTCATTAACACTAAATCTATATATTAGAAATTTTAGTATTTTGACTAAATAATCAAAAGTTATGTTTGAAAATATCGAATATATCTAGAGAAGTCAATCAAGCACAAAGATATATTCACTTCATATAAACAATTATAATTTTAATTTCTACTTATTTATATATACACTCAGTTCTTTACATTCCTCCCTTGAAATTATGTAAAAACATTAAACATTTTAAAAGAACAATAAGATAAAAAAATGTAAGTATCAATTTTTAAAATAAGTAATAAAGCTATGAATTGTAATCCAAGTTTACATTTTAAATCACTAACTGAAAAAGAGCCTACAAATATTGCTGTCTTACGTTATACATAATTCTTTTATCTACAAATATTGTTGTCTTACATAATAGGTAATTCTTTTATTCCTCAACAAAACTTGATATCAAAGTATTCTGTAAAAATTTAAAGATGATACTTCAAGGAATTACTCCGAAAATTGTATTGTGTTGGCAGGTAGATGCTCTGTGATATGGAAGGATAGTTGAACCTTACCACAAATAAGCTCTTTGCTATAGATAACAGCAGAGTTAGTGTCTAACATGAAAGTGCATTCAAAGCAGAAGTACATCACTGAATTCATAATAATATTCAGTAACACAAGTTGAACATTTAAGGAAACCAAACAGTGGATATGAGCAGAGTTGAACTGTGAATAATCTGCTTCAACAATGGTAACAGCAATGTGTGAAAAAATCCACATTCTGTGTTACCCTGCACTAATATCAACCAATGAAATGGAGATTATTGCTCATCACTAGTATGACATACATAGTCAAAAGTAATGACACATGCAGGTTGGCATTTTTAAAATCCATTATAAGGAATAAACTCTTCCTTTATTAGGATTCTATGTTTCAAGCAAAAGAATCAGTGATGGTGATAAAAAGAAAACATCATGTCCAATAGGAGTTGCAGGTGGCAAAATGTTAATAAAATGAAAAGTGTGCCCAATGAAATGTTCAAGTGAGATGTTGATAAAAAGAAATAAAGGAATCCAATAGGATGTGTAACTGGAAGAATGTTGATAAAATGAGAACAATAACAGTAACAGAAAAAATTGCAATATGAGCACTGGTAAAAAATAGTCGCTGAGACATTAGGTTTATAAGTCCCCAAAATTCATACACAATGACACATGGCCCAGCAGATAAAGAAGTTGGTTAGATCCAGTGACTAGACCCAAAGAGTTGTGAGTTCAATACCAGGCCACAGCAGTGGTGAAAGTTGAGTTAAAGGGAAATAACTTAGAAGAGGCATGGAAGGTCGAACAAAATAAAGGGTTCAGTTCTCTCTCCCAGTTATAGGTTAAATAGCAGGGTAAAATGGGTTCTCTAGTTTTAGGACAACTTTAGAATAAGTGGCCATGGTTAAATGTCAATTTACAGAACTGCCCAACAAACAGAATTATCAAAGTTTACAATAAACAAGAAAAAGGAAAGAAAAGAACAGGACAAAAATAATATAAAACAAGCAAACAATATATGCAAGGCAAATTAACAGTAATAAGGCAAAGCAACAATAATATGGCAAAAAGTTCACAAACTAAGAATTGGATTGAGTCACAAGAGCAAATTTGGATAAACAAATGCAGTGTTCTGACTTCAAGACAAACCAGACCAGGATTGAGCTAGATGAAACCAAGAAGTAGCCTATTTTATTGGCTAGGAAGAAATACCAACATGCATTTGTGTAGTTTTGCCTATAAATTGGGGAGGAGAAAGTGTTTTGCAATCATTCCCATTATGGATTTATTTCTTGGACTTATCCATATAGTGTTTGAGAAAGTAAGTGACCTATTTTTGTCCATGTTCATCTCTTAATACTGTTTTACATATTTGTCTTATTGTTTTTGTGTGTCAGTACCATTGTCCTTTTTGTTGGAACTTTTTGTCTTTAGGTGTGCTGACATGGGAGCTCCACTAATAAGGAGACATCTCAGCAGCAACCGGAAAAAAATACTTCAATGGCGTTAGACCGAAAAGAGGCCCAGAGTATTATGAGGCCCAAAAAGAAGTCTATAAAAATGTTATATCTGGAAACAAGCTGTTAACCATTCCCTCTGTTTTCAAGGCAGTTTCATATAGGACGTTCTCCCTACTGACCATGGATATAAAAACGAGAAAGTTGATTGGCATCAGCAGGAGGAGGCACTTAAGAACCTCAGTATAGTCCCCAAAATACTGGTCTGATGTTCCAATGCCATGTGGGGCATCTTGTTGGCTATTATCGAGGAGTCAAAAGCACTGGCAGGAAGCATCCTCACCACAAAATAGTGAAGCTGCAAACAGAATATTTGGGCACCTGGAAGCCGAAAATCATGCTAAGGGACAGGGCGTGCAGTTCAGCTCTATGTGGAATTGCTGTCCCTGGTGGTGCTTGAGGCAGGCTTTCTGCATACACCAATGATGCATCCATTTTCAAGTTGTGCTGCAGCAACATTGAATTGGTACAGAAGGTGCTTGCATGGTACAAAACGGTCATGGGGGCTAAAATTAACTGCAATAAGTCTTCCAGCTTGTAGTTAGGTGCCAGGAAGGGGGTCGTGTTTCCAAGGCCCTTTAGTTGGACTGACCAACCCATTCGCAATCTTGAAGTGTGGTTCGAACCCAGGCTCAGCAGAAGAAGAATTGGTTGGAAGTATAGGCAAAGGTCAGATTGGTTGTCTGGACTTGGCTTCAATGGCAGTTGTCAGTGAAAGGTAGGGCTGAGGCATGTGCCATGTACATCTTCCTCTCATTCTTTGTTGTTGTACTCTCTCACTGCAAGAACTGTAAGAACGCACTTGAGCGCTTGTTCTCCTCTCTCTTGTAAGGTGGTCACAAGCATCAGATCCACAGAGAAATCTGTGCCCAGTGTCTATGTCATGCAGGGCTCGCAATGCCACAATGCTAAGTTATCGATATGCTTTGAAATTGGCTTTCCTACACTATGTGTTGACAGAGGACTCGATCTTGTAGGAGAATGTTAAGGACACCTCCCCTAGCCTTACCATCACTCCTCCTGTTTCTAATGCTGAGTGTTGTCGTAAGCTCCAGAATCATCAGAGAATGTTGAGCAGCCTTCAAGGTTATTCCTCAGTCCAGTGACCTTTCACAGTCTCAGAGAGTCTTGTATCAGGAATTAGTGAAGGGGTTCATGAAAAATGCGTTCTGTATGCAGCTCGCTTGTTGGCGACCAAGTTATGCTCTTTCTGGTCTTGGGCGGCAACAGTGGATTACCTCAGCAACCCTGACCTGGCGATTGATTCAGAACATGCTATCTCTCAATGATGTAGCCTTCAGAAGGAGATGAGCGTATTTGCTTGACTGCCATCGGCCTAACCATGCACACCTTCTGCCCATGTCATCATTCTATGAGTTGATAGCTCTTTTCAATCCCAAACATCTTGTGCCCATTAAACTCACATATGCAGGTGATAATGTGTCAACCCTATATTCTCGGGTGAAATGAATGATATTTCCGACTTTGCTAGCCATGGTAAGAATGGTGGAGTGGACATTGTGAATAGAGGGAATCTTGCAATATGAACACTAGTCTCATTAGGATCTGATCAGATTCTTTGGGCATCAGTTCAAGATGAAGA